CACTGAATTTAAAAATCTAACAAAAGAGGTAAAGGACCTATACAAAGAAAACTATAAAACACTGTTAAAAGAAATAGAAGAAGACACAAAGAAATGGAGAGACATCCCCTGCTCATGGATTGGAAGAATAAACATTATTAAAATGGCCATCCTTCCAAAAGCAATATACAGATTCAATGCTATTCCAATCAAAATTTCAATGTCATTCTTCAAAGAAATAGAAAAATTATTGATGAAATTCATATGGAATCACAAAAAACCCCGAATAGCCAAAGCTCTCCTGAAAAAAAAAGAAGGGAATGGAGGCATCAGACTCCCAGACTTCAAACTATACTACAAAGCCATAATCATCAAAACTGCATGGTATTGGAACAAGAACAGACATACAGACCAATGGAATCGAATAGAAAATCCAGAAATAAACCCACAGATTTATGGTCAACTAATCTTTGACAAAGGAGCAAAGACTATGCATTGGAGCAAAGAAAGTTTGTTCAATAAATGGTGCTGGGAAAACTGGGTCGCTACATGCAAAAGAATGAAGCTTGACCACCACCTCACACCATACACAAAAATCAACTCAAAATGGATTAAAGAACTAGACATAAGACCTGAAACCATAAAATATATAGAAGGAAATATAGGCGAAACACTACGTGATTTGCACATCAAAGACATCTTTACAGACACATCACCCAAAGCAGTGATAGTGAAGGCAAAGATAAACAGCTGGGACTATATCAAATTAAAGAGCTTTTGCACAGCAAAAGAGACAATAACAAAAACAAAGAGAAACCCCACCAACTGGGAGAACATTTTTGCACCCAACACTAATGATAAAGGACTGATCACAAAAATCTGCAAAGAGCTGATGAGACTCAACAACAACAAAGAAAATAATCCAGTCAAAAAATGGGCAGAAGAGCTTAAAAGAAACTTCTCTGAAGAGGAAATGCAAATGGCCAACAGGCATATGAAAAAATGTTCAACATCACTTGTCATCAGGGAAATGCAAATCAAAACTACCATGAGATACCATCTTACACCAGTGAGAATGGCACATATTAAAAAAACTAGCAACAACAAATGTTGGCGAGGGTGTGGAGAAAAAGGAACTCTTCTGCACTGTTGGTGGGAGTGCAAACTGGTCCAACCACTGTGGAAAGCTGTGTGGAGATTTCTGGACCTACTAAACATAGAGCTTCCATATGACCCAGCAATTCCACTCCTAGGTATTTACCCAAAGGACACAGAAACATCAATTCCAAAGAACACCTGCACCCCTATGTTTATAGCAGCACTGTTTACAATAGCTAAGCTTTGGAAACAACCCAAATGCCCAAAAATAGATGACTGGATCAAGAAGATGTGGTACATATATACCATGGAATATTACTCAGCATTCAAAAAAGATAAACACATGCAATTTGCTGCAACATGGATGGCGCTGGAAGGGATCATGCTCAGCGAAATAAGCCAAAAAGAAAAAGAAAAATACCGGATGGTCTCACTCATAGCAGGAATCTAGAAAACTTAAATAATGGACCAGGAAAATGAAAAACTATAAGAAAGTGAAAATCAAAATCAACAAAAAACTATGAACCAGAGACACTTTTAGGGGGGCGGGGGCGGGAGGGAGGGATTGGGGTCAGAATGGGGGGCGGCAATTGTATGGGGAATATAACAATAAAATTTATAAAAAAAAAAAAAAAAAATAAAATACATGTAGTTATATATTGATCTAAAATAATTTTTACTTTAAAGCACATACCCAATGAAATTGCAAAATGATCTTTTGAAACTTCAAGAAAAGTTATGGAATTTTATAGGAATATGAAAGCATTTTGAGAATCAAGTTTAAACAGGGTGATATAAAGGTAGCTAAATTACTAAAATTAAATATTGGGGCAATCTAAATTAAAGAGTTTTATTGGACTGAAAAAAAAAAAATGTGAAACACTTTACTGCCTAATGTGCCTTGTTAGTTTATAACATACATTCTTTCAAAAACTTATTTTTAACTATGTAACTTTTTTCTTTTCTTGGGCCATCTGTGAGATTAAAATTCCACTAGTCTAAAGACATATTGGGAAACACTGGTCTAGAACTTACTTCTTCCAGAATTCCAATATTAGTTTTTCTCTTCCCTTTTTGAATTCTTTTTGAATTGCTGTTTTGTCAAAAAGAGCCTCTAAAATAACCACATGTTGAATGATTATTCATCACTATTGTCCAGTTCTACATTGAGTAGTACAAAATATCAAATTAAAACCCCCAATACTGTATAGATTACTTCTTTCTTAAATTTTATTGATTTGCCATTCATTAAATAACTGTAATTTTAGGAGTACAGCTTCACACTTTAACATGTGCACATTTTATTAATCCTTCACCAAAGCTCTAGTGCCAATAGACAATCACATTACCCTACCATCCCCCACCCACTGTATTTTTCACTGAGTCTAAGAGTTGAGTTATTGTGTTTTGCCAGTTTGTTTTCTTTGGCTATTTCACAAGTAAGTGACTATTTAGTAACCATCTTTTACTTCCTGATTTATTTCACTTAGCATAATTTCCAAAAGATTCATCCATTTTGTTCCAAAAGAGACCATCATCTTTTTTTTTTTTAATAGCTGAGTAGTGTTCCGTTGAGTAGATATGCCACAGTTTCTTTAGATAACTTCTAAACAACATTTCCGATAAAAATGTCAGAATTGGTTGAGAATTAAAAATGTTAATGATTTATTTTCTTACATACTGCCAAATGACTGCTTATTTCCGGGACATTTTTGTTTTTAAATGTAATAAAATATATCAACAGATTATTATCATTATGCAAGAGTACTACTAAAATCTAATTTGAGTATATATGATTCATGAGCTGCTGAGAATTCTTATTTTCTGTGGATGTTATTGAATAACTACATTTATTTTATAAGTTTTTATTTCATGTTATTTTCAAAGGGCCCACATTATTTTATATATTTGTCCAAGTCCTACTTCAAAGTTGAAAGAAAATTATATTTTTCCATTCCAGATGGATCAATGGGAACACATAAATGAGAAAAGTATGATTTTTTTCTTTGTGCATTTGAACTTTGGAATCAGCATCATTGAGTAAAAAGGGGTTGTGAAAGCCTTTGAATCTTTAGAGTCAAGAAGACAGAATGTAGATTTAACTTTATGAGTCTCAATAAAGTAGAAAGAATAGACCTCAGTTTGTGATGTCTAAATAATGAAAACACATACATAGTATCAGACCATGTCTGATACTCCTTAACCTAACTCATATGAAGCAAAAGCTGGGTGGATGTGGGTGTGGGTGGGGTGGGATGGTGGAGAGAGAGAATGGAATCCTTTAAAGGGTGAATGGTGAATGTTTCTAATTTAGTTTAGTCAAAGAGTTCTGGTCTAAGACCATTATTCAACTATTTATTAAATATTTGGAGAGAGTAAAATGGCAAAGAACCTCAGTGAAACCTGTTTTTCTTTGAAAACTCAATTTTAATTTTCCAAAGTATAATATAAAATTTAAAAACATGAGCCATACATATATAGGCATATATCAAAGATGTATTAACTTGTTAATGAGGGAATCTATAGGATGGTGATATTCTTGGTACCTATAGCATTTTGAGGATCTGAATATTTAGAGGCGTTTAGAATGTCAGTATACGATTATTAGGATAGATACAATATTGGTTAAAGGCATACAATTCAATAAAACCATAAATGTTGAGGTTATATTTCCTGGGCCAATTGGATAAAATGTGCACTTTAACATGTTAAATTCCCTGGGGGATCCACCCACAGTGAATAGCCTAGTCAAACAGGTACATTTTCCAAAAGAATTAAGCAGTCCTTGTGTGGCTTTGTGAAATAATGTCTCAACATGACACTGAAAAGCTCTACCAAATATTTTAATTATCCAAAAATAAAAAAATTGTGAGATTTTTGGTTATAAATTAATTTATCAGTTTATATAGTTTGGACTGAAAACTACCATCTCAGATGCTTCTGGAGGTGTAGAGATAAAAAAGAGGGGTAGGCTGGGATCTTCTTAATTCAAAATTTGAAATAAGCTTCTTTCACAGATAACTATTTATTCTATATCAAGGTCAACTTGACAGGAGAAATGAACAATGGAAAGAGGGCAGGACAAACATCCCCAGGGGAGTGAAGCAAGTAGGGGCTGGCAGCCTTCCCCTCCCCCCACAAAGCTGGCTTTTTTTTTTTTTTTAAAGGGGATAGCATTTGTGGGCTCCATCTCTCATCCTTTGTAAAGGTGCTTGGGAATGGAGCTGAGGCTGGCTGCTCTAGATACAGAAAGCCCCACCTCTTGCAGCGCCCCCCAGTCACCAGCTAAAGCCTGGGCTAAATTCACTCGCCCTGCGTGGGCTCATTCACAGCTGTGCGGTCCAGGGCTGGGTGCTTCCTCTTAGGGACTGAAATAACAAGAGCTCAGGTGTGATGAAGTGAACCCTCCTCGGGAAGTCTTATTTTTCGTAGGCAATTAAAAAACAGACAGACAAACAAATCTCAGCAAACAATATAAAAATCAGAAGCAACGTCTCCCTCCCTGTTCTCGGTTCCTCTCGGTTTTCCGAATATGGATGAATTTCTGCGAGTCTCCATCTCAGTGGGAGGAGGGGGAAGTGGCTCTGTAAAATTGGTAGGAGATGCCTAGGAAGAAAGCAAGTCTCCTGAGGATTTCAGCACCTAGGCAGAAACAGTTGGGCATTCTAATTGCCAGCCTTGGCGGTGACTGCCACCGAGAAGGGTTTAAACGCAGCGCCGGGGTTGGGGTCCTGCGAGGACTCTCCAGGTGCTCCCTGCTGGGATCCCGGAGTCCCGGGGTCCCGGCCCCGCCGCCGCGCCCCGCCCCACTCTGTCCCTGCAGCCTCGCGGGTTGCCGGGCTTTGTGGTTCGCCCGTGCGCCGGGCCCCTGCTGGGGGTGTCGTTACGAGCATGTGCAGACAGCAGCCCAAGGTAGAGCGAGCGTGCCGGGAGAGCCCTGAGACTTGCCTTGCAATGCCATGTTTGTGTATGTGCTCTAACTCCCGGAGAGCGATCAGGGAGACGGCTCCCCGGCCGGACTTGGCTGATGTTTTCTTGTTTTTGTTTCAGCCTTCAGGATAATTCCTTCAGCAGCACCGCTGTAACAGAGTAAGTGATTCCTGCTTTTAAAATAAGACTTGCATGCCTTTCTGTGGAAGCAACTGTCGTGAAGGTATCCTACCCCGTCCCCAGCGGCTCTCCGAATTAGATGCATTGTCTCCTGTAATCTGGGGCTGTGAAGACCGCGAGATGTGCTGACTGATGGGGCCCAGAATTCTTTACAGGTTTAAATCACCCCCACCTTTTTTTTTTTCCTTTAGCAGCTACGGGAGAGATATTAAAACAAGCTGATTGCTTGAGGGAGCTCGGTGCGCAAAGATTTGTGTTCTTGGAGCTCAGATTTTTTTTTTTTAAATCGATTTCACATGTCAGAAAGGAAGCTTTGTTGTGTTTTGCCAACATTGGCGTCAGTTTTCATGGAACACGCTGTATACAGCAAATAGGAGATGAATGTGAAATGAGTTGAATTCCAGCATGTGATAAACAGGCTAAACTTATCCTTACCCTCTCTTGTCTACAGATTTTTAAGACACAGAAGTAAACTTCTGTTATGTGCCCTTTGTCATTTCTGTTTTCTGACCTCAGAGATCTGGCGATCTGAGAAATGAGTCATCTTGTCCTATGGTTAAAGCTGTTGATTTGGGCAACTAACATCATTTAAACGTGGAATGAAGGGGTGTAATGTTTTTCTCAATGCCTGTAGTCACAGTATTTTTTATCAGATATTTATAGTTCATGACTTTATTCTTTGTCATCCCTTCTTTAATGTGTTTTCTTTCCTATCATGTTATGTAGATGTTAAAAATTAACAGAGTATATTATGTGACTATTATGCTATGCTAATTAATATATTATTTACATGTATGTCTGAACTATATGTTCTTCATCTAACACTCTTTCTCCAGGCTAACTTATGTTCACTTCTGGGGCATTCATTAGAAGTCACATTAAACAGCTCTTTCAGTGAAAAACGATATGTAAGTTTGTATGCTTAACTACATATAAAAATTGCTGCAAATTTGATATAGAAAGCTCAACTTTGGAGCTGTTTGCTAAAGTTCCCTAAACGTGTAGAAATAATTATTATGTGCGTTTCAAGTCAAACAACTTGATGATGGGGTGTCTAATTCTCAGGGTTCTCTTGTTTTCCATATTCTTTTGTTTCTCTGTTTGGATATGCTACTTTCTTAATATTTGACTTTGGACTCACTAAAGTAGAGTTACTTTTAAAAAAAAAAACCTAGGGTTGACTTTAGAAGATTCAATATATAATATTCCTTGGCACTCAAAATCTGTGAATGAGATTGGTAACTGTGTTACAACTTTTGAGTTCTTGAAAAACAGAGAGGAGGAGAGATGCACTTCTAAAGACACAGGTAGGACATGAGACCTGCCTTCCTGGTTCAGGCACACTGCTACTGCCTTATTGTCTTTGTGGTGCTTATAAGCACCAAGTGCCTTCTGTGCAGATTTTCTAGACCCCTGTCTGACTGAATCCCCAGAGTCAGTCCCAAACACAGCAGCTTCAAAATGGAGACACTTACTTCCAGATTTCACATGGACAGTTATCTATTTATTTATTTATTTATTTATTTATTTATTTATTTATTTAAAGGTTTTAGAGTTAAGTGCTGGGGAAAGTCTGGTGTCTCATCTCTGGACACTCCCCAAGGGGCTCTGATTGCATAAGATCCTATTGTTGCTTTCAGAGAAGTGACAGTGATTTATTTGAAAAGACTCAGTGACAATTAGAATGCCATCTGGCTAATCTGAAAATCTAAAGAACGTATTGAAAACATACCAAAAGCTTCATAGGTGTAACCCAAAGACTGGGGTCATTTAAAACTAACCATTGTCTAATGTAACATTTTCTCCTCTCCTCAATAATATGAGCCATTTTCTTTGGTGCTCTGAACATGACCCAAAACCAGCAGAATCAGGATGCACTGTCCTGATACAGAGATATAGCAGGTGCTCACTAAATGTCTGGGAGTGGTCTTGGCAAGTGCAGCAGAGGAATTTGCCTCGCACATGTTTTGGATACAAGAAAATGTCGTCTTATTTCTGTTCTCACCTCACTCCTACTTCCAGCTAACCGTGTGCATTTATTATTTTTTAGTGTGTGAAATTACGCCTATATATATATTTTTTTTTAAGATAAAGGCCTCTGGTGGCTATCCTTATTAAAATGGAAATTAAAAAGTCTGTGCCCCTGGGAGGTGGATTTAAGTCATCATTAATACTTTAATATAAATGATATCAGACATTCTAGCCGAATAGGGTTCTGCTTGGTTAGCTGGGGTGGGTGGGGTCTTGTAAGATCCAAGCAAAGAGGGATTGGGAGAGACTTAAGGACAGATTTTATTTTCTTCTCAGATTTTTCCAGACCTGGCACTATCTGTGCAGCTCTGGACCAGTTCAGTTTCTTTTTCTACCCAAGTTTTTCCAGTATCAGAATGGACTTAGCCATCCTTTATGCATATGTGGTGTTCTTTCATCTGTTACGTTCTCCTAGTCATTTCCTACGTTGCCCTGGTTAACTTGCTATTTGAAATGAAACAATCAATTCTTCAACGGATTCGTTATCATCCAAAAGCACTAGTTCTTAAAACCAACTAATTATCAAGATCTCTGGAGAAGGAGGGGTTGGGGCTTGTGAAAAAAACTGTTTCACAGACTTTATCCAAAAGTGGGAACCCAGAAAGGGTGATTATGGGCAGAGTCAACCCAGTGTTGGTCTGGGTTTTGTAAACTTTTAGATCAGTGTTGAACTTTTCAGAAGCATTATTGTTCTGTGGGGGGAAGGGCAGTCTGCCTTAAAAATTCATGTCCCTGGTCCCACTGTCAGAGTCGATCTTGGAACTGAGCTGGGTGTGGGATTGGACCCTGCTGTCTTGATCAGCCATCCCAGGTAATGCTAATGCAGGTGGTTCTGGAGACATACTTTGAGAAATCCCACAGGAGGCTGTGCTCCTGCAATTTTGCTTTTGCAGCTTCATCACTCTAGGGAGAATGGAAGTCCCTTCCCAGACACAACTACACTGTACTTAATAATCACTCTTATTTATCCCAAGTCAAAAAAAGAGACTCTTTCATGGACACTTCTTTTACCATCATTATTCTAAGAAACAAGTCATTCTCCCTCTCTTGGGAGCCTCAGGGAATAGATACTGAAGGAACTATTTGACTCCTGCCTTTCTGGGGTTAGTGGGATAAAGCAGTGTGACATACTAGTGTGTGGGACTCAGGTTTCATTGCTTTACACCTTAGAATCTTGGGCAATTCCTTAACCTCTGTGTGAAGATAATTCCTACCTCACAGCACTGTCAGGCTTAATTGAGATGAGGTGAAGTTGAAGGTGACCTGTGAAGTACCATACATTTTCTTGTTTGTGGTTGATGGAGGGAACGAAAGTTTAAATAGATAAAAAAGTAATGACCCTGAACATTTCACAAAGAAATGATTGTAAGGACAAATTATCTGTAAATTGTCTGGGCAACCACCACAAATTGAGACTTGTGGGGTTTAGAATATAGTGGATGAGAACCTCAGTGGAAGTAATTTAAGAGGTGCCTTTCACATTTTTTTTTCTATAAACAGCAGTTTTTTTTTAAAAAAAATTATATTGCAATCTAGAGCACATATACAGGTATACCCCACTGCTTGTAGTTTGAGTTATGTGACTTCACTTTTAAAAAAGTGCTAACAGGAATTGCTAACAGGAAGAAATCCGAAGAGGATTTCTGCTTTTACTACAAAAGTGAAAACAGCATTCAGATTTGTTATATAGTAACTGTTTCAGAGGCAGGATGTACCTCAGGCAGTTAGAGTTGGGCCACCAAACTCCTGAACCAGGAACTATTTTGTACATTCTGTGTATTTATCATTTACTTTCTGCTTTTGCTATATATGAATATTGTTTTAGGTTTTAAATGTTATTTGGTATGTGTTGTAAGTAATTTTTTCGGTCTAGGAATGCTCAGTTTTTTCCATATAAATTACTGGTAATTGCTTTGCTTTAAACCATTTCAGATTAGGAAAGTTTTCACAAAACTCTACTTTTCTAGGGGGCTGGGGTAAGCCTGCAAATTCGTAATTTAAACAAATTTTATGAAGTAACATTTAACCTTTTCTATATTAACATTTTCCATTGTGTCTAATAATAATAACCGAATGCTGGTAACTTCTGTCTATTTTGAAAATTCACTAAGAGGTCATAAATTTAGTTTGAAAACACTGCACCTGAAGAACCCTTTTTGAATATTTGAGAGCTTTACTAAATAGCTTGGTTTTTGAATTTCTGCTTTGGGCTATTAAGGCACTTGGTCTGAGTTGATTATCTTCCAAGAGTGGGCATGTCTGGAGATGAGTTGCCACTGTAGAATCCAGTTTTATAACTGGGTCAATATTGTATAGAGGGCTCCTGGGCAAGGAATCAGTAGAACAACCAGAAAGGAGATGTTAATTAAGCAGAACTTGATAATCTTCATCAAAGCAAATGAAAATCCAACTGAACTCAAAGAGCTTGTGTGTGCGTGCCATGTGAACAAGTAGGTGATCTCTTTCATTGCTGTATCTTCATTTGAAATTGTGATTCCTTGAGTGAGCACTAGAATTGTTTGGTAAGATTGAAAATTGGATCAGTTAATTAGGTTCGGCCTCAGACTTAAGAAAGCGTCTGCCACTCTGTAGGTTCTGGTACTGAGTTTCCATTTTTTAATTGTACTTTGAGAAGAAAGATTCATAAGTCAAATGAGGGGGGAAATTAAATTCTTTCCAAATCCCCAAACAATAGGTATTGTTGAGCTCCAGAGTTGAACCTCTAGTTGAATCCTAGTTCTTTGGAGGCAACAATTCTAGATTTGTTTTTCTTTGATTTTTCTACTTATATAGGTTTCTTTTATGGGGAAACATTTTTATTCATATTACAAAGTTCAGATGTTCTATTTAAGCGAATGTCTCTGATGGTGGTGAGCAAAGCAGTACTTGTGCATTTAATTGTTTTCCATGAGATGGACAGAATGGGCCTCTAATAGTCAAAAACATGAGAAAGCAAGTAAATTTCATTCATTTTATTAAGAGTATTTTTTTTAACTACAAGAGAAAATAGGGTATTTCAGCAGCTACAAGAGTTCAAATTCATAGGTGACCTTTGTTTAATTTATTACAAACCCATATTTTAAAATGTATATGAAGAATGGATGACTAGAGCTTTCATCAGTTTGTTCTATGGGCAAATTACACACCACTGCTGGTACGGAATATTTAAAATTTTAAATGATTAAGTATAGTAAAAATACCATATTATGGTTATATTTACTATGCAGGTATTCACAAATGTATTTTTTTCTACTCATTACATTGTGAATTTCTCAGGGCAGAACTTTGTTTTCTTTAGAAGCAGTGCTTCTCAAAGTGTGGGTCCCCAAAATGTTCATAACTTGTCTAAGACTAGAAAAGTACATAACTAGGAATTCGGCATTTAAGAACTGCTATAGGAATTTGACATTCCTGTGACATTTTTACCAAAGTATGCACAGGGGGTTGGAAACAGAAAACAAATGGGTCGATTCTGAATTTCAAAGAAATTGAAAAGCAGTGTTCTAATGTCTAATGCAGTACTTGGAAGGCAATAAATACATAATAAATATTTGTTATATTACTTCTGGGACTGGATCTGCTGAGGGCCAGTGTTAGTGATTCAATTCTAGCATTTATTGCATGTCTATTGTGGCAGATACACAGTGTGTACCTAGAAAAAGAAATTATAACTATTTTTTTCAATGTAATTAACAACTAGTTAAAAAGTTCTTAGAGGTACAGGGGAATTACATAGCAGTGTGAGTCAAGACATAGTTGGTTACTGTAACTTCAGAATGAAGAATAAATATTTGTATGTTAAGTATAAAGTAGATACGTGGGTGAACTTGGCTGGGAAGATTCATGAAGCTTATGAGACTTGACTTGGGCAGTGAAGCATGCATAGCATTTGAAGATGGAAAGGTATTCCAGGCTGGAGTCAGGTGGGGTGAGATAAGGTGAGAATGACTAAGAACAGGAACAAAGGCTGCCTCCTACACTAGAGTGAGGGAAACATCCTATTCCAGATTTCCTTTGGGAGTGTGGCGATTTTTCAATCTAGAAAAGTCAAGTATTTTTCACAAGGTAGGGCCAGAAGTGTTGTGAAAAAGAAGGGGGTCAGAAAGACCAGCGGTAATGGAGTAGTTCAGATGGGAGATGGTGTGGTGTAGGATGGTGTGCAGTAGAATAAAGACAAGAGGCATGTAATGGGGTCTTTTGAGTCAACACAATCCACCAACCCTGGTGTCAGATGTCTTGTCAAGTACTTTGAATACTTAGGTCTTTGCTAAGATGTTATTAGCTTAGGTGATGTAAAGCAGTGGAAGAAAAGGTTTTGAGCTTCTGGTTTTGAGTTTTTAGACTCACATGACATGGCAACATTGGTGTCACTTGGTAGACATATTGGAATTTGGAGCTGGTGTGGGAGTCAGTGGTGAGAATTGTTCTAGTATTTAGTTTACCACACCAATCTTGAGATAACTGTAGACTTCTGCTTCTGCTGCAGCAAACAGTTGGATGTGATATGGTTTTGTTCCCTCTTCCCAGGTGTGACGAAGACACAGTCTCTCTACATGAAGATCAGACTGATTGCTCCAGTCTCAGGTAGGCCCCCACCATTGCTAGGTTACTATGAAGGACAGAAACCACCAGGGTCTGGTGTCTGAGTTTCTTCTTTGAATTTTAATCACGTGTTACCATGTTTTATTTCTTCCAATAGATTATCAGCTCTTGAGGCAAACCTTGTCTTCACGTTTGCACTTTCTTTAGCAACCAGGACAGATCATTACATGTGGAGAATTCATAATAAATACCTATTGAATTAAAATTCATCAGCCCATCCCCATGTTCCCATCATAGAGCTGAAGGAAGAAGTTCTAGATATATTTACCAAACACATCATTGATTATCTGGAGTATGGTATTGGTTATTAAGGGGTTCATTGTACAGTGGCAAAATCTTCTTGGTTAACCATTTCTTTCACACTTACTTTGTACATTTTATTTTTTAATCTAAATAACTTAAGGGTAAATGGAGAAACAGAGGTTCAAGATAACATAGGCTTTATGAGGCAGAATTGGGACTCAGGTCTCCCTGATTAAAAAGTCCAGTTATTGGATAACAAATATATGTTGCATGTCTGTTTTATGTGCCAAGAAACCTGTCAAAATATGGGATTAGGAAAAAAAAAACAAGCTTTGCTCTCAGACATTCAGCCCACTAAAAGAAATAGGCATGAAATAGATGATGCTGCTACATTGCTTTAAGTGCTATTATATTAGAGGAAAACATAAGATTCATTTAGCAAGACCAAATACCTAGAGAGTTTTCTGGGATGGATTCTTGAAGAAATTTATGCTGATTTTTTTCTTTTTACACATGATTTTTTTTAAAAATGATTCCACCAAGCAGAGGGGCCAATTTATGGAAAACCTATAGACAATAAAATGATTCTATCAGCTACTTCAGGATGGCAGAAATCTAGAGCATCAAATTGGAGTGAGGGGGCAAAGGGTAATAATAAATGAAGTTCCAAAATAAAAAAGACCAGTTTCTGAAGGATTTGTGAACTTTGCTACTGAAGAATTTGGAATTTTTCCTGGAGGTATTGGGAAGACTTAAAAAGAGCACTCGGTTGTTTCTTTGCATATAACCAGATGCCTAAGGTCCCTCTGTGAGAGTAACAATAGCTTCCATTGATTGGTTGGTGGCCTTGAGTCTGTTTGCTATGGTAGACATTTCACAGACACTGTGTGATCACTGCGAGGTAGAGATGGCATCTGTTTTATGGATGAGAGCAGAGAGAGTTGTTGTGACCCAAGCTATACAACCATCGTGAGAAAGGATCATTTGAACTTTTGTTCTCTTTAGGACACCATGCTCATTCTCAGTTATGATTTGTTTCAATGAATAGTGGCATAAATTATATATATCCTGTATTTTTTTTTGTTTGGGAAATTCTAAGGAATCAGTCATAGATTTGAAATATTTCTAAAGACGACTTTCATATAGGTTTTATGTTTGTATAATGAGAGAAAGGTTCATTTTGTTTTTTTCCATTTTTCATGACCTTCAACATAAGGAGGTAAACAAGCTATTTATACATTTTGGGTGCCTTGAAAATGTGATTTGAAAATAGTATTAAGGCATTATTTTGGGGTGAGTCTTTAAAACATTTCTTCCCTTATTCTTGAGTGCTCTAGAGTCCTCCATCAATGAGGAATATTTAGGCAGCTGTTCTTCCTTTTGTTTCTCACCCAGGAACACAGAAATCATGGATAAGTATTGTTTCTGTGAGAGAAATGCACTTCAAACAAACTAGTGCAATTTCCAATTCATGCTATGATAGTGATTTCCAAATCCACTAGTGACTTAGAGATTTTTTTTTAATCAAAAATGATATTAAGGGAAAAAGTTAACTAGTGTCTTTAGCATTGATTTTCCCCCCTTCAGTTACTAACATTGAAGAATTATTTTGCTAGTTGGTACCTCCTTTACCAGGTAGCTCTAAGTTTGTCCTGAGACTTGAGTTTGACAGCTCCACATAGTTTTATTTCCACATCTTGCCCAACTGTAACTGTATGAACAAGGTATACCCTGGAACCAAAAACTGTTAAGGGGTACATGTTCTAAAAGGGTTTGGAGAGAAAAGGAGAGAAAGAAGAAAGGATTTCAAATAACAGATTCCCAACCAAACTCTGAAAATTACCCATCCCCTCATGGAAAAATAGTCTTCGCCTAAGGCAGGGCAGTTAAGACCTAGAAGCACCACAAGTACAAAGCACATGCCAGCAGGAGCTATAAAGAAAGAGTTAGGCAGGACCTAGAGATTTAAAATTGAAATGTATCATAAAATCTATTATGAGTTGAAGATAATGCCTGCTGTTGTCTCTGCCAAAATGTTAAAGTGTAAGAGCAGCCCCTCTACGTGTCTCTTTTCCAACTATCTCTCTTCCACATGTCCCTCCATCCTCCTTGCTTCAACCTACATTTACATATCCACCTCACCCTTTTTATCTGCCCTCTCTCATTCAGGAAGTCTGGTTCACAGCATGCTGGGAATTGTAGTCCAAGGCAGTTCCTTGTAAATAGAAATGGGAAAAATGCTGCCTGATCTTGGGTGTGCTGCTCTGTGATAATGTCCACTCTCCTGTAGAGATGCATTCTGTAACGCAGCTGCACCCTAATCATGCTCTACACCTCCTATTCTCATGTTAGCTTTTGTCTTTTTTTCCAGGGGCTTATTGTAGCTCATCCTTCCCTGATAACAGCTTAATCTCTCTTTCTTGAGTTGTGGGCATAGCAATCTTTTCTTCATGGTACTGTGTCTTGGTTTTATGTGTTCTTAAGTCAGAAGGAATTGCTTTTAGCTGATGTTGCCAAGACCTTTTATGGGTGCTCTGGTCAGGGAGCCACCTGGGAGAAGTGGCCACTTAGAGAATTTTATGATCTTAGTGATTGCCATGAGTTAAGGTGATGATATGGAACATATAAAGAAAATACCCCCTTTAGTTATGTTTAGGCTGCTTGCTAGATTCTTAGCAAAACAGGAAAATACAAATGCACCAGATTTAAGTGGCACAAATGACTTCACATATGAGTGTTATGTGATTTTTGAAGAAATGGTGTACTGAATTTGATTGGTGAATAAAAATTAGAAGTGCCATCCAGCACTGACTGTGTGAAGGTAGCACTAGCCATTTGGTCTCCGGCAATTTCTCATTGATAGAACCCACACACCAGATCTTTCACTTCTGATTTCACTTTGCATTCAGAGAAGGCACAGTTTGGATGGCATTTTTTTTTTTTTAAGATTGATTTATTTATGCATACAAGAGCTAGATACAGGCCAGAGATGCAGACGGGTGAGAGGATTCACCAGAGACAGAGTGGGGAGCAGAACAGGCAGATCTACTGAAATACATTGCTGAGGGGAGCAGCGGGCGAGACAGGAGAGGTCCGCCTCACTATGTGGGTTGCTCCCTGGCCGGCCGGGGATCGAATTCATACTACAGAGGCTGCGGATTGCTTCATAGTACGGTGCTTAACCCCCTGCGCCACCAGGGAGACCTGGCTGGCATGTTTAAATACCCTTGAAGATTATACATTGATAATGGCAATGGTTTGCTTTAACCAAGGACACAAGCATGAGAGGCTGGATACCCACATTAGCAGAAGGGTGCACTAACACTCTGTTAGTCTTATTTAATATTTTTGGCGTTGGACTCAATTTATAACATTGGGATGACAATTTCTAACCTGATTATCTCATAATATTGTGAGAGAAAAATATATTTCAAGATGCATGAAAGTATCTTGAAGTGAAAGATTAGAAACAATGTTAGTATTGTATAAAAGTACAACTCCAAAAAAACATATCCATTAGCAAAGATCGGAAGGGAATATGGAGTGATCTAAAGAGTGAAATTCATGTTACTTAAGTTCTGATTCATGTGAAATTATCTAAGTCTGCACTAATAATTTTGCTATGTATCACATAAATACAGCAGCAAGGAATATAGACAGCCCCTCTTTTTGGCAGCTGTGTATAATGGGGTTTTTTTTTTTTGGTACATTCTAAATGGGGTCTTTGCTGTTTTAGAGATGAAGACAATAAAGAAAATTACCCTGACACAGGGGCTCTCCTAGAGGAGCCAGAGCTGCCCTCCTGCGAGCCTCAGCAGCATGTAGAACAGTCGTTGCTGTTGGATGGCGTGCTAAGACCCAGCATGGGCAACTTCAAGTCCCGGAAGCCCAAGTCCATCTTCAAAGCCGAGAACGGGAGGAGCCACGGAGAAAGTCAGGTAGCAGGCTCTACAACTCCAGCCTTGGCTGAGATGGGCACTCCTAAGGGGAAGCTTAGTATGACAGACAGCTGGAGCGGGTTGCTTTGGACACAGTTAGAGCTCTTTAGTGTGACTTACTATGCTTATTGCAGAACCCAGATGTGGGTGCTCCTGTTGGAGTGGTCTGGACAGGCTAACTATGTAGTGCCCATCCAGATTGATATTCTAAAATATGGTCTGACACATTGATTTAGAGGAGCTCCTATGTTCTTTATAGGGAGAGTGGAGGAGCTCCAACTATCCTCACTTGCCCAGGGCATATCGCTAGTACATGTGACATAGAAATTTAGAGATTACTCTCTGCAAATTGTAAATCCCAGAGTTACCTGTAGCCATTATCCTTTAGCAGCCTGGAAAAAACTCAAGTGTGTGTGTGTGTGCGTGTGTGCATGTGTATGTGTGCAGCCTCTGGGCCACTGAGGTCAACATACATTTAAATGAATGAATGAAGCATCTTTCCAACTAGATTAATGTATTAAATTTACATTTTATAATACTTTTTTAAAGCTTGTTTTAGTTGTAGAAGGACATAGCAGAGAATGTCATTTTTTTTAAACTTAAAAGCCCCTCAAATAATTTATGATGCTTTCAAAAGATATTAAGTGATTATAATCTACTTTAATTTTCCTAGGAGGTTAATGGTCCCAGTGTTGAGGTTATACTTGTAATGTACCTAACTCAATTTTAGAGACGTAGATGCGCCATTAATGTTAACTGACTTTGTGTTAACACTTCACTGTTAACCTTAAAAACAACATGAGAGGCTCTAAGTGTAATAGGTTAATTATATAATATCTTTAAGTCCAGTCCTGTTTAGCAAATAGGCATCAGTGTTTTGATTGTTAGGCCAACTCGGGCTGGGAAGTTTATTTGACCTTGTAATTTTATTTGCTTTGTGATTTTTATCTCATTTCTTACTTGGATTCATGATCTCTTGTTTAGTCAGTTAATTTTTCATTGAAATGAAAATGCTCTCTGCATTCGTGAGCTGTATTGTGATTATTTTAAACGGACTTGGGTTGCAGAGAGAGGTAAGTGTGAAATATCATTTGAGTTACGATAAACTTGAGACCTTGCTTATCACTGGATGCACCCAGAACATATTTGATTAGGACTGTGGTATTGGGGAGGATACTGGTATCTTAACAGCTGCCCTCAGAATCGGACAGGACCTTGAACATCTCCACCTAACCATCATCCATGACATAGGGGCTTTAGATAATCAGTCATATCTCCCAGAATGCCCTTTTTCTTATCATCCTGTAACCTGGCCTTACGGAAATTACCAAATCATTACTTTTAATAAGATGCTAATGGGGTATGTAATTCTCAAGGTATTTCTCATACACAGGAATATTACAGGAGAGAGAGAGAGATGCTATTATAGTATTTGCTTATAATACAACATTGGAATCTAGATTGATGGATTCCCAGTTTGTTCCAGAAAATTTCTAGTTTTTTCCCTAACATCTCTAACTGCACGATGGGATTGTTTCCTTAATGTCTAAGAGAAATTTGATATTATTTTATTTTAGGTCTTACATATGTGGAAAAAGTTTAAAACATATTTCATTCTTCCTATTTTCTTTAGGATGCAATAATTAATATTGGTTGAACATCTGTAGTATCATAAAATAAAATCAGCTAACTCTTATATGAGCATTTCCCATGTTTTGGTAAATAGGGTAGAGAATACAGTATGTATTTACAATCAACACACATGCAGAAAATGCTGTGTGTCATGTTATAATATAATCCATGGAAGGAGTAATATTATCTTGGTACCAATGGAAAACCTCTTTTATCAGATTTGGAAGATCTTGGGTGTAATCTTTTCCAAAAAGTACAGTGTTTCTAGTAAGAGGTAATCCAGATCTTCCAACTATGAGTCTACTGATTTAGCAGCCTATTATAATACTCACACCTTAATTTTTATATGAAACCTGTGATTTCTTTCTGGAATGCTCTCCCTATCTTGATATTTTGTGTTGCTAAGCAGCAATTACTTCCCTAGAAAGGACAAGATTGGAGAGAATTTTATTGTGTTTTTCTTTTCTGCCTTAAGACTTTGTGATATTAGTCACTAAAGGTAGGAAACTGCTGATGATATGAATATTAGCTCTACTGGATGTAAGTTTCTTGAGATTGATGGTTTGGACCTGCTTGCCTGTCTGTAGATCTCCAGCACTCAGTATTATTTGTTGAATGACTCAAAACAGGTAAGAGATACATATGATTGGTGTCTTTTTTGTTGTGCTAAAATCTAAGCATGATATATTTAGTCATTTGTAAAAAGTTATATTTTCTAAGAGGATATAATCATGACTTTCATACAGATATAAAATGAAGACCTGTCATAGAACTTATTAAATCACTATTTAATGAGAGAATAATATGGCCTAACCAGTTCAAAAGAGATACAAAGTATTTCACACTTTATATACTAACAAGAAATGTTGAAGTGAATTTACAAATGGATAAAAAATTGGCAAAACTTACAATATATATAGGGTGATGTTTATTTAATTTAGACACAATTTGCTTTTCTTTGGAAAGGAATTCCCTGTCATTGGTTTTTTCATGCTCACTTCTGTCTCTATAGCCTTGTGAAATAACCTAGGCGTAGACAGACAGAAGCATAGATTTCCAGATGATTGAGTTAGCCAGGACATCTATGAAATTTCAAAGTCTTTTATAATTTCTCCTTACATTCTTCTCTTCACTCCCTTTCTCCCTTGTGATCATTATATCATTCTTGACACAAAATAAATCTGGTCTCATTAGGTTTGACTTGATTATTTACATAGGATACTGATTAAAGACAATAGATTATTTATGTTGTAATAGTTGTGAAATATTACCCAAAGTATGGGAGATGGGTAAAATGGATGAAGGTAGTCAGAAGGTATGAACTTCCAGATATAAAATAAATAAATCCTGGGATGTTATGTACAACGTGGTGACAATAGTTAAAACAATATTGCGTATTTGAAAGTTGCTAAGAGAATAGATCTTAAAAGTTCTCATAAGAAAAAAAATTGTAACTATGTGTGGTGATGAACATTAACTAGATTTATCATGGTGATTGATCATTCTTCTGTATATATATATATATATAAAATCTTGTTATACACCTGAAATTAATATAATGTTTGATGTCAGTGATATCTCAGTTAAAAGTGCTTGTGTGTCTTGTTGTATCTCATGAAAAACAGTGAGACTTGTAGGTTTCATTTCACCCCTTTAGAATATTTGGGTATTTCTTCATCTTGGAAAACTTTGGATTTGATCAACTGTGAGATCTGCATCCCTCTCCCCCCACAACACATGCATTTTCTGTTTGTTATTACTGTGGTCTTGATTACTATTTCCTGTTGTTTTTACATTATCTACTTTTATCTAGAACTGTTTTTCTCACATTAATTTCTTACATTCATATTTTCCTGGTAACAGACAAAAAATGTATAAATCTACTATTTAATAATGAAATCATAATTATTGGCATTCCTCTATTGGTTAAAATGAACATATCCTGGTTAAGAAAAAAACAATAGAATATCTCATAGTATTTTGTCAAAAATTGAAAGTGATTCTCTATTGCTATAGTATTAATTCCTACAAACCTGATTTGGGGATGATTTTGCATGAGTAATAAAACCGTCTTCCAGTGTTGGACCTCATAACTGTCCAGACGGTGTTTAGATTTAGCATTGGTAGATTAAGTCTTAACCATCTTCCTTCCCTACCAGCTGGCCTAAGTTTATGCAACATCCTTCTGTGCTGCACTCTGGTGGCTATTTTAGCAGAAGACAAAAAGTGGAAGGCTATATAGAGAACTTTTCTACAGTGAGCTGTGTACTGTGATCAGGTGTTAATCTACTTCCTGGGGGAGACCAGCTGTCATATCTAGTGTATATTAGCACTCAATCGATTCTACTTGGCTCCAGTGGATGTGTTAAGAGACTGGAAAGGAATCTAGGTCTGATTGTGAAATTTTCATTTTTTTTCTTTTTATAGAACTGAAAATCCCTAAATACTTTTCAGACAAAATAACCTAACTATGAAGTATTTACTATGTTTCTGGTTGGGGAGGGTATATTTCTCTTTTATTGTGTTACGTTATGAATTTTTAAAAAAGAGAGTAGTTAATTCTGGTTCATATTTTCTCTGAAAAGGACCTAAGATTTTGGTTCCAATTATATATCTACTTAATGTTTGTTTTTCTTGATATATTATTGAACCACTGAGCAAGTGCAAATGGTAAAAGTAAGAAAATCAGTACAGCTGATTGACTTTGAAATTGAAAGTACTGCAAACGAAAATGAACTTCAAATAGAAATTTATTTGCTTTTCAGTGAGAGGAAAACCTTGTTTGAGAGCTTACTACTTATAGTGTGTCAAAAGCATGAACCCACGGTGTTTCTAACAGTTGGTCTTACATAATTGTTTTGATACATCTGTGTTGTATTATTTCTCTGCAGTGATTTTTCATCTCTGTTTTAGAAGTTTTACATCAATTCCTGTTTCAGTATGAATTTTTAAAAACTTGTTACTGGTTAGAAGCTTTTTCTGGATTTGTTATTCAGATCCCCTTTCCTCCTCCAAGAGGAAAGTGGTTGAGATTCAGAGTGCGAGGTCACTGAGAAGTTCAGGGTTTTTGAAAATGAGACCACCTGAATCCATGTTTAGATTAATTGTTTTTTTCCACAGGGTATTCTGATAATACTCCTCTTGAAATTAACGACCAACATGTCTTTAAATGATTTCGTTAATTTTTTAAAGGGGGAGATGGAAACTGGAATAACTGCACATAACTTTATTACCTTGGTTACCATAGTTGGTTGGAAACAACCAACTATGTTTAGATTAAATTAGGTGATATGCCTTGTTAATCTGTGCATTAATCTCAAAAATCTCTTAGAGATAGAAACTATTAGAAGTTTGTGTTCAAACAATAT